ATAATCTAATAATTAATTGATAAAGTCCACAATTTATCTTTATGGTCTCCATTTTATTAACAAGTATTAATTAATGTGTACGTAAATTGAGGCCCAAACTGCAGGCGTACTCTTCCCATCACTCCCAGTCAAAAATGCTCCACATAATTATTATTATTGTAATTATGATTAATTTATTTTCATTGTAATATATAGTTTTCAATCAAAATTTTACGACTTTGACTCAGAAATAAAATGAAACAACTGAAAAGCACGTGCAGTTTTTCGCTTGTTTTCACAATAAAAGTTCTTATCTAAAGTTGAGAGTTTCCAAATATATACTTTTTAAAAATGTTAATTAATTTCATTTAAAATTTTATCTGAGCCATATCATATAATGAGGCTGACAGTTAAATTAAGTTAATTAATAAATGATAATTTTATTAGTTTTCAATCAGGACGATCAAATATCTACTTAATATGTATAAAAGTATCTATAAATCTTTTTATGTGTGCGATATAAATGTAATGTGGAACGTATACAACAAACGAGTTGGACAAGTTTTGAGCTGTTGAGAATCGTTCAAGGCGTCGTCGATAGGGGCATAACATTTATATTTATGCAACATCACTCTGAAGATTTGCGTCATAGTCTGTCAATTACATCGAGACTGCACTTCGCTTCGCTTCTTTTGTTTGGTCGTCAATTACATCGATCCACCCGCGAATGGTGAATTTCTTACTGCTTGACCCCACCAGGTAAGGAAAGGTCGACGTCAGTCCTACTAGACTTTGCTCGCTCGCCTTTCTCATTTTGTTTTCATTCTTGTTTATCTTATTGCTTTGATGTGTCCATCTTCTGTGACCCTAACATCTTTCTCTTTCTATAAAAAATAACGTAACGTATAAGGATAAAGAGCACATACATATAGAGAGGTGAAAAGGACGGATGTCCCAGTTATCTAATCATTACCAGGATTTGCTGGACTGCTTTTCTCACTTAAGCACTCGACGTCACAAATAGAAAAAGAATGGGGTCAGGGTCAACGATCACTCACGTCACGGGCAGCACGACGAGCTCAACTTCCACGTCATAACCTCCCTCTCTTTACTAGGGCTCCGCTTTAGTCATTAAGAAGCCGATGAGCCATTTCTTTTGTATAAGAGGAAGAGGGAAGCATGCACTAAAAGAAAGATCGATTCTTTTAGATCCTTCCTTTCATCAAACAGAAGAAGTTGAAGAATTTCTTGGGAATCCTAAAAAATCACGTATCTGGAGGGTCCCAAAAAAAGCGTTTTATTCGAAAAATGCCTTGGTCTTTGACAACTTAATGTCGGGCCGAGGTACCTTCAAGAAGTTGAACGACTAAACCTAATTGTCTTGTCCCAAATTACATCGTTTGCAGGCACGAGACTATGTATTCAGTTATGGAGTTGTACGTGACTTTTTCCAAATTAATTTATGAGTTGAAGGGATTTGAAGATAATAATTTGTGGTGATGGGCGTTGTATAAATTTTTTTAGTAATAATTTAATTTATTTTTTATATCATTTTTTTCTCTATTATATGATTTTCGTGCCAATACACAAATTAAAACTCAGTAATGCTAAGGGGCCAACTGTTGACTCCGTTACAGAGCCAACAACCAATGGGACAGCTCCATGTGGGGTTGTCCCACATTGGAGCCATGTGGGACTAGGGATGAAAACGGAAACGGTAATTTTTGATTACCGGGAATTGTTTTCGAAATTTTTTTGGATTTGGAGGCTAATCGGAAACGGAAACGGTAACCAGAAAAACTGAAATGGAAACGGTAAAAAAATTTGAAAAAGAAAATGAAAACAGTTTAGCCCTTTTCCGATCGTTTTCAAAAATTACCATATTTAAACGGTATTTACCCTCGGTAATACCGGCCCAACCCATACTAGGATCACTTTTAATTATAAAGCACAATCCAAATTCTAAATGGGCCAAATGCCCAAATCCCCTTCAGCCCAACCCTTCTACAGTGTTCAAATCCTGAAATCCCCTTCATCCCTTTCGATCTTCACTCTCGAGTCTCGTCTGGGAGTCTGTCGTCTCTTCCATCTGCTCGTTGTCTGCTCGTCGCCGCCGCGCCCCACTCCCATCACCGTCGCAACCGCATCTACAGTGCCCAAATCCCCTTCATCCCGTTTGGTCTTCACTCTCGAGTCTCGTCTGGGAGTCTGTCATCTCTTCCATCGGCCGACGACCATCGCAATTCGCCACGCCTGCTCGTCGTCACTCCTGTCACCTGCTCGTCGCTGCCGTGCCCCACTCCCATCAACGTCGCAACCGCACCAGCCACTAGGACCGCTACAGGCTCCACCTGCCGTCGCCTACCCCACTTTGGTGGACAAGTCACAATTCAATTGCTAGTTATTGGAATTTGTATGGATTTTTGTATAGCAAATGGTGTGGATTTTAATTTGAATTTTGCTACTATTATGCCATGAGAATATTTCAATTAATGTTTTAATGTTATATTTTATAATGTGGTGTGTTTATCGTTTTTTAAATACTGTTTTAATATATTTCGATAGTTATCGATGTATTTTCGATCGGATAGTTTCGTTTTCGATATTACCGGAATATCGATGTCGTTTTCGTTTCCGACATTACCGTATCATTTTCGTTTTCGAGAAAAAAAATATGAAAGTAGAAATGGTTGAGCCCTATACCGATCGTTTCCGATCGTTTTTATTCCTATGTGAGACAATCCCACATGAAGCTATCCTATTGATTGTTGGCTCCGTAACGGAGCCAACTGTTAGCTCTTTAGCATTATTGATTAAAACTAGTACATTATCTAACCACACTCGGTTAAATTATTAAATTATTATTAGTGAAGACTGACAACACGCTTCGAGCTCGAGGGGCATTTTCGTAGCTACCCAGTAAAAGAAAGGCACCTTAATAGCTTTTCAACTTATATATTACAAATTATTATATAAGTCAGATAAAGAACAGTCATATTCTTCTTCTCATCTCTACCGTACTCTCTCATATCTGAACAACAAAAGGTGCTCTCTTTTTTTTTTT